GTGTAGGGAGGCTTTGCGAGACTTCTTCCGCGAGACTTATGCCGCAGGTTTGGTTTTTTTAAAGGAGTTTTTGGGGGTTAAGATTGTCTGGATTCGAGGCTTGAAGGTTTACAAGATTTTGGGCCGTTCAGGTCCCGAGCAAGACCCCCCTTGCAGCAAGAGCATGGGGGCACTAGGCTGGTACCACTACGACGATCGCACGTGCGACTTCGGCTGCCTGGCAACTGAGTACTTGCACCACGTGGCCGCTTCCTACAACGGCGAGTACGCTTGGGGAAGGCCTGAAACCGCGCAGGTCTGCACCAGAAGAGCTCATGTTAGCCTTGGCCGTTGCTGCTGCAAGGCATTAGGGCAACTTTCGTAGCAAAAGTCTGCCAGGAGGTACTGTATCCTCTGGCCCTTGGAAGGGGCAATGCTGGCAACCTGACTGCGGCTAAAGTCGCCGTGAAGAACCGCTACTGTAAGCTGTGAACCCCGTAAAGATTGAGTGGTGCGCTGCTTTTTGCCTGCTAATCCCTAAACCCTACACCGGCCAGGACTGGATCTGGGATTTGCAACGTCTCGTCGTCTCTGAGGCGGGCCAGAGAGTGGGAGCCCTGCGTGTTCCTTGGCGGAAGTTCCGACTTCGGCCTTCAGTCGCGGTTCTCGAAACATCGGTCTCGTGCCCCATGTGACCCGGCCATAGGCAGAGTGCCCTGCTAGCTGCTAGCTGCGAGCTGGCCCAACCTTCCACCAACCTCCTATCCAAGAAGCAACCCTAAATCCGGTGCCAGGGCAACAGCAAAAAGCAGCCTCAACCCTTTGGTGTCACCTAGGTGGTTGGCAAACAAGACCTATACCCTAAAGCAGCCAAGGTTGGGAGACTTGCAGGGCAGCCAAAAGCTCCTAAAGTCCACAGACACCGCCGCCTGGCGCCTGGTCCGCGGGACCTATCGCATTCCCTTGCGGATGCCCGACGGCCGCTACGCACCCAAGAGCCAGGACCAACAAGAGGTGGTGGTGTAGTCCGGAGCCTAACTTTAATTCATTTCCAGGAGAGATCCCCGCATTAAAAAAAGAATATCATCCCATATGGTCCATTTTAGACCCAGAATACCCTTTCTAATTCGAAATACAGGGGCCTGGGTCTGCAGAGGGCTATTTGTAGGGTTTCACAGGCGCCGTTTGGTGGCTAAGCCACCCATAAGAGGTGGTAGCCGAAGAATGGGAGAAGGGATCCAAAGAATGGCGCTGGGCTTCAAGCACGGGCTCGTAAGGCACAGAGTCTCCACGCCGCCAAAGCCCTATACCCTAAGCCCCTACAGCAACAAAAGCGCACCTCCCAAAAACGAACCCAACAGGCCACCTAGAACTGCCCAGAACCCTAGGCAGAACAGCACGATGCTTGGAAGCCGCCCCTAGGGATTTGAGGCCGCTGAGACTCAGCCCTGCTAAAGGACCCTGAACCCTTCACCCCCAAAGTCTAGGCCCCCCCTTGAGAAAGGAATGTAACGCTTGAACGTTTTTAGGGCCTCACAATGACTTAATGTTGGGATGTTCCCTGATACTAACAGTCCTTAGTAGGGATAATAGTACGCCCCCCCCCCCCCCCCCCCCCCATTCTAATACCTAGAAGGGCTGTTAGTATAAGGGGGAACACCCCAAACTTAATGTTGTGAGAAGCTCTCCGGGTCACTGGCCTGAGGCAAGTCGCTCAAACCGACAGCGCCGTCCCAAGTGCGGACCTGGGAGGTGCCGGGTGGCTTGAGATGGAGGTTTTGGGTTCAGGGAGTAAGAATTTACGATAAGATAGCAGGTGCACACGCACATACACACACACACACACACACACACACACATATATATATATATATACACATACTGTAGACTATACCGTATAGTATATAGTATATACACGTTATACGATATGTTATATATCTGACATTGTCTTGTATGTACATGAGTTCTCGAGGGTTTTCGGGATTAGGGCCCAGACTTCCTGGGCTCGGAACTGTTCCCGAACGACCCGGAAACCACAAAGCCGCCAGGACATGTAATGGGCCCTAAACGGGGAGCGTTTTGAAGCGAGCTGACCACATCCACACACCCTTACCGATTGCTTGCGCTTGGTGGATGCCACCACTCCGTCCGCCAAGGGCTCTACACAGACGAAAGCAATGCCGAAAGCAGAGCTGAAGTCTCTGACACCTAGCACCCGACTCAATCAAGAAGCCCTCCAACCCTAAACCCTAAATCGATCCTACATCCCGGAATCCCTAAACCCCCCCCCCCCCACCTCAAAAACTCAAGACCCTTTGCACTCCTACAGCCCCAAGCCCTTTGGCACCAGGAGCGATTCCGGGAGCCTCCCCCACCCAGCTTCCGCGGCGGGTGATCGGAGCCACGAAGTGCTGACGGGATTCCGGTTTAGGGTTTAGGGTTTAGGGTTTAGGTTTTTTCGGGTTCGTAGGGTTTGAGGTTAGTTATGGGGGTCGCGGTTGTTTTTTTGTCCGTCAGGGTTTTAGGATTCAGGCTTCAAAGGCTGAAGAACTTCTGTCGAGTTAAGGGCTTTTCAGGAAAAATGAAGGTGGATGCCGTGGCATAGAGTGGCGACCAACAGCGGGCGTGTGTCTTCTCAAAGTGGCACAAAGCGTAGTGGTTGACAGGTGGTGTACAAGGGCTGCAAAAGCTAAACCCTAAACCCTAAACCCTAAACCCTAAACCCTAAACCCTAAACCCTAAACCCTAAACCCTAAACCCTAAACCCTAAACCCTAAACCCTAAACCCTCAAGACAACTTGCCAGTGCTGTGAAGGGGAGCACGGAAGCCTGGATGTGAACCAGGGTGGAGGGTTGCACCCGAATGGTTAGGGGGGTTTAGGGTTAGGGTTTAGGGTTTAGGGTTTAGGGTTTAGGAGTTAGGGTTTAGGAGTTTAGGGTTTAGGGTTTACGGTTTACGGTTTTTGAGCCAGGGCCACCATCAACTAACACCCAGGGCCGCTCAAATGCGTCTCGGCGCCAAAGTTGCGCCAGCCGCTGCCCACTAGGGCTTGGCGCGTCGTGGCTTTCCAGTAGAAAATCGCATCCCATCTTCGGGTACCCGAAGCAGAGCGCACGCTCCATGGGACAGATTTATTGGGCCGCCCCCCCCAGTGGAACTCCTACAGCCAAGGGTCGCTTCTGCCTGCAAAGAGGACTTCGGAGCAGCTTCGGTCCTGCTACTGGTTAGGTTTTTGGGTTTAGGGTTGAAGGGTTTAGGGTTTAGGGTTGAGGGTTTAGGGTTTAGGGTTTAGGGTTTAGGGTTATACCAAACACGACATGCTCTGAGCCCCATGGCAGGGCCTTCAGGCCCCACGCCAGGTTAAAGTTTCAGGTACACCAGCACTTAACCTGCTTTTGAGCCCTGACATCTGAACCTCAGGGGAGAGCCTGTCAGTCAAAGGCGTCCCACCCCTGAGGAAAGCTGAACTACCCAGACCCCCCCTGCAAGAATATGACGAAGTGCCACAGTGGTGTAACCAAGAGTCCGTAATACTGGAGCAGGCCGAAAGTTCGTCGCTCCTACAAAACATAAGGCGCACCAAAGCAGAAGAAAACACCTTTCCCCTTTGGACTTCTGCACTCCACGGGCACAGGTCCTCCACTGGAACCACTTAGTGGTATTTGATTTCAAGGGTTTAGGGTTTAGGGTTTAGGGTTTAGGATTTAGGGTTTAGGGTTTAGGGTTCATTCCTCTGCTAGCCCGGCTAGGACAAAGCCATCTTCCGGTACTCCGTCGCCCTCCGTAGGGCTTGTGAAGTCAGGAGCGACAACACTTTAGTCCCGGCCATGTATGTAATCAGCAGGAACTCTGACCATGAGTTTCCACATTTTACCGTAAACCCAAAACCCAAAAAAACCCTAAACCCTAAACCCTAAACCCTAAACCCTAAACCCTAAACCCTAGATGAACAAGTCCTGGTCGGAAGGCCTGGACGCTGGATGTGCCACCGTTGGCCGAATCCCGGTACAGAATTTGACGTCTGTCAGGGGTCTATCGGGTTGCTGGTGAGGAAGAGAGGTTTAGGGTTTAGGGTTTCGGGTTTAGGATTGTTAAGCAACGTAGATTAAGTTAGCTGCACAAGGAGAGTAAACAAATATGGGTTCGTTAGCTCGGCAACAAAAGCAGTTAATTTCGTACGACTTGTTTTGCAGTTTGTCGTTCACAGGGGCACCCTGGGTGTGGAGTTGTTAGATGGAGTGTGTGTTCATGGAGTGCCCAGCCCCAGAGTGTCCCTGAAGTGCCCAGGCGCTGAGTGTCCCTGAAGTGCCCAACCCCTGAGTGTCCCCCAACCCCTGAGTGTCCCCGGAGTGCCCAACCCCAGAACATAACACCAGTTGGAGGGTACCAAAACCATGAAAGTGGTTGGCAAACCTGAAACCGCGGTATCACAACCGCTTATGAGGCTTACAAGTTACCAACATTCCAAACCAGAGTTGGGGTCCTAACAGAACACCAAGCAACTTTGAAAACATCATCAGTTGTGATATCTCTCATCTGCTTGGATCCTGTCCTCCCTGGCTTGTCTAAACCCTATCAGCACGGCGTTGAGTAACAAATGCCCAGAGGCAAAAGCATAGCTGCGGATTTTGCAGAGAGCGCTCGATGCCACAAGAGGCTTTCGTTTCTCATTGAGTTTACAGGTGATTGCCCAGTGATTTTGAGGTTTTCTTAAGACTTTTATGTGTTGTGGATTCCATGGTTTTCTCCGGATGATTAGGTGTTCCGGGCCACAGAATTCCCTTCACCAGGAGCAGTAAAACTGAATTTATTTCGTTTCTGCAACACTCATTGATTTTACATGTGGCTGCCCAGTGATTTTCGTGGTATCCTCATGACTTTTATGTGCTTTCATATGTGATTGCCCAATGATTTCGTGTTTTCTCATGATTTTTTCTCTCACCTGTTGGGAAAAATCAAAAATAGACGCACCCTGAGGGGGTCACCAAACTCTGCAGCCATTTGCATGAGCCAGAACGGCCTCTGGTTGCAATATCCACCAACATGCAAGGCACTGGTTGTTGTCCACGTTCTCAGGCCTCCTCAGTTGTGATCTCAAACCAACAGCAGTTGTGACATTCTGTCCCTTTGATTGTAGTATCCCATACTCGCCCCCCCCGCCCCCCCCCCCCCCCCCCCCCCCTCCCCCCCACCCCCCCCCCTCCCTTTTTCTCTTCCATAGACCCCCCCCCCCCCCCCCCCCCCCCCCCCCCTCCCCCCCCCCCCCCCCCTTCCCCCCCCTTTTTTTTCCTCTCCCCCCCCCCCTCCCCCCCCCCCCCCCCCCTCCCCCCCCCCCCCCCCCCCCCCCCCCCCCCCCCCCCCCACCCCCCCCCCCACCTCCCCCCGCCCTTCCCCCCACAACAAAAAGCAAAAAACAAACAAAAGCACAAACTTGTTCTCCTGACAAGGGCAATGTAGGGATGATTTTCTTTCGATTTTTTGGGGTTCTTAAGCAAGTTGTAGTCTTGGTTCATGGGTGCAGGGTGCAGGTGTCAGCCGATTGACCTTCAGTCACACACTGCCGTGATTTTCTCGTTAGGGTCGAAGCTGGGGTCTGTTGCTTCATCCGTGCCCCAAAAACCCAAATGATCCCCCAAAGCCCGAATTCCAAGTTTCGGCTGTTTCGCTGTGCATTTTGGTACTGAGAGATTTCAGCAGTTCTGTCTGGGCTGTGCGACTTGAGTTTGCATGTTCAGCCAGGCGGGTGGCGAGTTTTCGATGTATGTTATAGCAAAGCAGAAAAATCAGTAAGCACAAAGATGCTAATTGTACTATTTGTACATTGTACTCGTCGTCAAAATAGTACTAATCATAGTCATTAACGTAATATCCGTCAGAATAGTAATCGTAGCAATGGTCATCATCACTGATCGTAATGGTACCTGAACCATCCAATTCCAAGGACCGCCTGGTGCTCTTCAGCAGCGAGTGGCTTGAGCATGAGGCAACAGATCTTGAGCTTTGTCTTGCGTGTAGTTTCTTGAAACCCTAAACCCCAAACCCCAAACCCTAAACCGTAAACCCTAAACCCTAAGCCCTAAGCCCTAAACCCTAAACCCTACAGGCTCCAAGACCTCAACACCGCTTCCAAGAGGCGACTGCAGTTCTCAAACGGATGGGATGTCGGCCCCAGTTCTCGAGGTGCTGCCAGCACACGCAGAGCGTTGGGTGGTGCGCTTAGTCGCGGCTGGCAGTGTGCGAGAGAGAGAGAGAGAGAGAGAGAGAGAGAGACAGAGAGCGAGAGAGAGAGAGAGAGAGACAGAGAGAGCTAGGGAGCTAGTGAGTGAGAGACTCTACGGGTGGCATATAAGGGATAGTTCTCCACGAAGTGCGGCTTTTCATTTTGGGGGGACTCCCGCCCCCCCCACCCCCCCCCCCCCCCCACCCCCCCACCCCCCCCCCCCCACCCCCCCCCACAACCCCACCACCCCCCCCCACCCCCCCACCCCCACCCCCCACCCCCCCACCACCCACCCCCCCACCACCCCCCCCCCCCCCCCCACCCCCACACCCCCACCCCCCACCCCCCCACCCCCCCCCCCCGCAAACCCCCGCAATTCATTTGAAATAATAGTTCGAACGCCCATTTTCTCAAGTGATTTCACTATTTCATCACTTTGTCAATATTTTCAATTGAAAATGGTGACAAAATCAATTGCAAAGCAACTAAGATTACATTTTTTGAGAATTTTTAGTGTTGTAATGGATATTTTCTTTTAATGATCTTGAATTAGTTTGGTTCGTTTTTCATTGAATTTCAAGTACCTTTAGTGAATTCGAGTTATTATGTCAAATGAATTGCGGGGGGGTTGCTGAGGGGGGGGGGTGGTGGGGGGGCGGTTGGGTGGAGGGGGGTGGGGGGTGGGGGGTGGGTGGGTGGGAAAGGAGAGTGTTGAAGGGGGGGGGGGTGGGTGGGTGGGTCGGCATTGTAAATTTCGAAAACGCGCTAAATCATATAAGGGGTACCCTTTAAAGGGCCCATACTAAGCAAGGGACCATGTACCTACCCTAAGAGTGAGAGTGTGCGTGTGTGTTTGGTGGGTGAGAGAGGGCCAAGGATCGAGCCTAAGTGTTGGGGTTGGGAGATGGTTTGGCTGCCTATGTTATGTTAGCCCTTCAAGCTTTTCCCTCGATGCTTTCGACTAACACAGTGGCCGTGTTTCGTGTTGCTTGTTTGGCCCGATAGGAAATTTGTGAGTTCTTTTGAGACATTCTGGGCCGCAGAAGCCCTAAACACCAGCCGCCGCACCCTCATGGGGATTCTCAAACAGGTCCCAGAGAGCTGAACCGTAGTCTTTCGTAGTAAGAATCCCTAAACCCTAAACCCGCAGTGCGGGTGGCAAATGAGCTCAAAACCCTAAACCCTAAAGCCCTGCAGCACAAACTCCTCGAGCAAGGGGCGTTGGGCTGTCTGCGGCTGCGGTTCTTACCAGTCTTCCCAGCCCTTCAGCGCCCAGGCTGTCACCTCCTGGTTCTACTGAATCCACGATCTCATGCCGGGCGTGTGTCGTTTGGGGTTTAGGGTTTAGGGTTTGGGGTTTAGGGTGAAGGGTTTGGAGTTTTCGCACAACTCTCAGGGTGTTGTCGGGCAAACACTAGTTTTGGGGAACTCTGTTGGTTCAAGCTGCTGGCATCTCCAAGAAGTCGCTGCTGCTGAGCAGCAGCGGAGCTCCTGGGCGGCGCAAATGTCACAAAAAAACATCAAGATCCACCCTCGCCGCGCCGGATCTCATGCTGGTTCCTGCTGTTGCCTGCTGCTGTGTGGGTCTGGGCGTGACGCTCTCGGGCCCGGGAAGCTGCTTCGTTGTGCGTCTTGGCTCAGCCGGAAATAGCTCAGGACCACTGTAGCAAGTTTAGTCCAGTGGCCGTCGCGGAGCTTTGGGGGTCTTTGAGTGGTCCAGGCCTAGGCAAGAAGCAGGAGCATTGCCGTGTGCACAGGATGCATCAGGGATTTTCGGGTCAAGTCGGCTTGCAAACGCCGTACAGGGAGGCTTTCAGAGTCATCTCAAGCATCTCCATGTCGCGCAACTGAGCATTTAGTTCTTGGGGGCGGGGTTGTGCGCCCGATGGAGGACGCGTGCGGCTCCCAGTTCATGGAGGCTTAGGGACAGTTAGGGAGAAGAAGCCCGTTACCTTAAAACTCTTGAAGCCCAAAGCCCTCAACACTTCTGAATCCCCAACCCCAACCTGAAAAACCCTAAAGCCCAACACCTTAAAACCCCTAAACTCTGAGCCCCAAACCCTAATCCTTAAACCCTAAACCCTAAGCCCAGACTTCAACCCTAGGGTCAGGCTAGACTTACCGCTTCGTAGGGAATGCGTGAATTCGTGGCAGGAGCCCGGAAAAACGGCACCTTATATCCCCCTATGTAGACACTTAAACGGGATTCTATATAAGGTCCCTCCGATACCCTAAACCCTAAACCCCTTAACGCCCCATATAGACACCTTGAAGGGATTCTTTCAGGTCCCTGCCTCCCATGCAGAGGGCATGCGGAGGGAGATGGGACACACACTTTCCTGTGGATGCATGTTGGGAGTTTCCGGGGTTTAGGGTTTAGGGTTTAGGGTTTAGGGTTTAGGGTTTAGGGTTTGGGGAGCTCAGATTCGGGTTCAACAGGTTTGGAGGGTACAGGGAGGCGCTGGGGGATTCTGGACAGGAAGGGTGTTAACAGAGGGCCTTATCCCTGAAACCCTCACCCCTACACTTTGCACGCTGAACCCGAGAACCCCCCAACCCTAAACAAATCTCTATTGCAACCCCAGCGTCGTAGTTTCTTCGATGGACGTTGAAGCTTTGCCTGCCTTGCGCGACTTTGAGCGTCGAAGCCCTAGACCCCAAACACCCTATGCCCTCAAACCCTCAATTGTCTCACTGGGCCCTAAACCCTAAACCCTAAACCCTAAACCCTAAACCCTAAACCCTAAACCCTAAACCCTAAACCCTAAACCCTAAACCCTAAACCAGGAGCCAGACACAGACGCAGTTGCCGCATCGGAATCCTTGCGGAGCGGTCCGTCCAGCTATGGGTGTGCCAAAGAAGCCCAAATCCCTACGCCGGGTCGCGTGCTCAGGATCCGCAGCATCGATGTGAAGAAGAAGGCCTCCTTGGACGCTTCGGCATTTTAGGGTTTAAGGTCCTAGACCCGAAGCCCTAACCAAGTGTGTGCCAGGAGTGGTGCGCGCAGTGCGGATGGCAACAACCCGAAACCCTAAACCCTAAACCCTAAGCCCTAAACCCTAAACCCTAAACCCTAAACCCTAAGCCCGAATTCAAAGGCCCTAAAGGGTTCAGGGTTCGGGTTCTTTCGGTATTTCAGCCCAGACCATCTTAACGGTCACAGGTTGCAAACGCTCCGTGAGGAGTCCTCGAAACTTAGCTCCGAAACCCTCAAAAAGAAATAAGTAATCCATTTCTGGGTATTGCTTTGGGATAATTTCGAATATCCCTTCTTTCCCTTTAAGGGAACCTATTCATAAAGCAACACGCAGATTTCATAATATTTAACAGAGTCGAGAAGTAAGTCAAGAGTAGCATGCAACTCTTAGACTCATACGAACATCAGAAGAGCAAGTAGCAAAACAAGTCCACCCTTCAACCCTAGTCCCATGTTGCAGTGAGTAGGCGGGTGGCTTTAAACAAATCCCCATAAATTACTCATGCGAGGTTGGCTGGCTTCCCGCATCATTCCGCTGGCATGTGGGGGCCCTTCAAAAGCTAAACCCTAAACCCTAAACCCTAAACCCTAAACCCTAAATCCTAAACCCTAAACCCTAAACCCTAAACCCTAAACCCTAAACCCTAAATCCTAAACCCTAAACCCTAAGCCCTAAACCCTAAACAAACCCTAAACCCTAAACCCAGTAGCTGCGACTTTCTTGGCAGGATGGTCCATATAAGGGCAAAGGCGGAGGGAAAGGCCCGACGCTCCCGCGGCGTGCAGTTGCCATAGAGTTCGTGGGTTTCGGGGCACAGGGGTGTGGGGGGGGTGACGACAGACCCTCCCGAGGAATTGGCAGTCCGAACTTGGCACATCCGCTAGAAAGTCCAACTGTTCGACGTCGCAGTTGAAGACTACTTTAGTCAGGGTCTGGGGTTTCGGCGCGACATACAAGCCTGATGCAAAAAGGGCGTAGGCCCGCGGGATCGAGGTAGAACATGCTCGGAACTGGCTGTTGCAACCTTTTTTCAAACTTGAAATTCCGTAAGCTTGGAGTCTGCACCCTAAAGGCCCTACACCCTACAACCCTCGAAGCCTTGTAGACCCTGACACTCAAACTACCCTAAACCCTAAACCCTAAACCCTAAACCCTAAACCCTCAAACTATGGGCTCGAAGAGTGGTTGCCAAAGAGAAGCGTTGGGCGAAACCACCCGCGGGGCAGTGACCTGGCTGCACCTGCTGCTCTGTTTAGGGTTTAGGGTTTAGGGTTTGGGGTTTAGGGGTGTAGGGCTATAACGACCCCAAAAACTGTATTCTAATTTTTAAGGCCCCTATATTAGGTTGTCCGACTGAGCCCTAATTTGGTATCCCACTGGTGCCCTTTTCCCATTTTTGGTTCAAGGCTCCCGAATGAATGAAGTTTTATAATATGGTTACTGGGCTACCAAGCTAAGCCTCAAACCCGGAACCGGGTTTGGGTGCGGAGAGTGCGTGCCGAAATCGGGTTTAGGGTCAGGCCGCGCTGGATCTGAAAACCCTGAACACCCCCAAACCCTCAAGACGAAGGTGTTTCGAGTGTTTGGGGGGAAAATTGGGAGGGCCTACTCTGGGTTCTAGCCCTAAACCCTAAACCCTAAACCCTAAACCCGAAACCCGAAACCCTAAACCCTAAACCCCGAAAAACTGGGTCGATTCCAGGCTGAGGGTTTCGGGCTGCAGGGTAGTTTGTGGGAGATGTCTGTGCGGCTCTTTGGTTCTGGCTCCGGTTACTTCGGGTTTAGGGTTGGCTTAGGTTTTAGGGTTTAGGGTTTAGGGTTTAGGGTTTAGGGTTTTTCAACCTAGCCTTTCCTGGGTTTACAGACACTGGGGTTAGGGTTGGGGGTTGGTTTGCGGTTTTGGGTACGCTATCTGTGAAGGCCGTTGTTGAGCTTGCGATGTTCCGAGTCAGCAGCCGACAATGCGCCTGCTCCCGAAATCCTGAATGAGAACGAGAACGAGAGAGTGTGAGAGAACGCAAGAGAGAGAGAGAGAGAGAGAGATCGAGAGAGCGAGCGAGGGAGGGAGGGAGGGAAGGAGGGAGAAACTGGGAGAAAACGGCGGGATAGACACAGAGATTTTCGAGCAGAACTTCTGCCGAATCCTAACCGCGCCCCTGAGCCACCATGAGTGAGCCCAACCCAAGGCGGCCCTCGCCGCCCGGCCGCCCAGAATGTCTGAGCAGCTTGGAGAAAGAGGAGTTTTGGGTTTGGGGTTTAGGGTTTAGCGCTACCTTCTGGCCTCCACACCCCACATTTCTTGGGTCGGAGAAGCGGGCGCTGGGCTGCGCAGGGCTTAGGGGGACGCAAAGGCACTGTGAGCTTACCTCTCCAGCGTACAGTCTGGATATCCAGAAAGCCCCACTTAATTGCGACTTAAGGTTGTCAAACGGTATTCATTGGGATGTTCCCCGTTGCACTAACAGTCCTGAATAGAGATTATTTTAAGGGGCTGCGCCCATGGGCGGGCAGCGCAGGCAGAAGCGCGGGGCGAGCAGTTTCTAAGCATTTTGAGGCCCCTAAACTCCCCTAAAATCTCTAAGCGTTTGAGGCTCCTGAACTCCCTTAAAGTTTCTAAGCATTTTCAGGCCCCTAAACTCCCTTCGAATCTCTAAGCGTTTGAGGCTCCTAGACTCCCTTAAAGTTTCTAACCACTTTATAAGGGTCCTAAACTCCCTTTTTCCTAGCACCGACCTTAGACACGTCGCTTATGCCCGCCCTTTGGGGGGCGTCATGCTCCTGATGCGCCCCCGGGGTCCCGCCCCGGGAGCCGCCTGATGCTCCTGATGCGCGCCTGGGGGTGCCGGGCTGGACCCGCTGATGCTCATGATGCGCGCCCTCTGGGGGCCTCCGTGGCGACGCAAAAAACCACGAAAAAAAAACCGTTCACCGGCGGCACGCGGGGGTCGGCGGCACTGGCGTCCGGCTTAATTCTGCTTCGCAGAAGGCCAGAGGCCAGCAAGGCTATTCCCGGGACGACCCGGGCTAAAAGGTCCGCATTTGCTCGGTCCTTTGGGGACCTCGCGCTGCCCGATTTTAAGGGGCTGCGCCCATGGGCGGGCAGCGCACGCAGAAGCCCGGGGCGAGCAGTTTCTAAGCATGTTGAGGCCCCTAAACTCCCTTAAAATCTCCGAGACTCCCTTAACGTTTCTAAGCACTTTATAAGGCCCCTAAACTCCCTTTTTCCTAGCCCCGGGCTTAGACACGTCGCTTATGCCTCGCCCTTTGAGGGGCATCATGCTCCTGATGCCCCCCGCGGTCCCGCCCCGGGAGCCGCTGATG